TCTGGTCAAATTAAAATTAAATGAATGAATAAATAAAGATAAATAAATAAATAAATAAATCTGGTCAAATTAAAATTAAATGAATGAATAAATAAAGTTAAATAAATAAATAAATAAATAAATATGTTACCTAAAATGAAAATGCAAGATCAAGAGGCAAGAATAACATAAAAATTGATAACATTATAATGTTCGGCACAAAGATTATTGTTGTATGTAGTTTTCCTTACTTATTGCATAATAAGCATTTTTCTCAACTTACTTTGAAAACATCAAAAGTTTGGGATGGGCCCATGGCAGGGCGGTTAGGGTACCTGGATTCTACCTGACTGAATGCAAAGTTCGAGCCCGGACCCCAGTGGCTTGATAAAACACACCCAGCACATGTGTACAAGGAAAGAGATATGGAGAAGAGACTACAATGTAACAATCGTGGGGGGGAGGGCAGGGGGGGTGATGGGGAGGGTGCGTACTCACTTTCCTTCTCTGTCGCTCTCTGCAGGCACAGGGATTTTTAAGTAATTAAGTAACCAAGTAAGTAAATAAACCAGTAACTAAGTGAGTTTGTGCAGGATTAGCCTTGTAACCTAGAGACCTTATACAAATGGTTAAAGGAATCAGATCTCTGGGACCAGCAGTTGGAGGCTATGTCTCCCATGTAGTTGACCACAGTTCGAGTCCCAGACCCGGTGGCTTAAACTCATGCTGGGCATATGTGCATGTGTGTCCAAGATTCCAAGAGGAGAATGGAGAAGAGATTACAGTGTGGCCATCTCCCCGGAGGGTGATTTCTCACTTTCTGTCTATCTTTCTAGAGAGTGGTGTAATGGTTACATCGCTGGACTCCCACACGGTTGTACATGGTTCAAATTCTGGACCTAGTGGCTTAAAACTCACACCAGCCATGTGTGCATGCACACCCAAAATTTTGAGAGAAGAATGGAGGAGAAGGGATTGTTGCATCGCCATCCCTCCAGAGGGTGAATTCTCACTTTCTGTCTCTCTGGTAAGCGCATGTGCCCTCTAGCAAAACTCTCTCTTAATAACAATTAAAAAAAAAAATCAATCCTTATTTCCCCCTAACCTCTCCCTCTAGCTGAGACAACCACTCAGCTACTTTTGTTCTCTACAAATGTGCCTACTCAATACTTCATACAGCTACACTTCACTGAATGACCTGCTTAATGAACACTCAGACTTATGACCAGTGTGGGGAACACCATTTCTAAGCCTTTGTCACATTTCCACAGTTGGTTAGTACTCATTACACGAAGCATTCGCAATCATGCAAGTCTACATCTTGCTTATGAATATGTACTTTATTGTATACCCATAGTGGCAGAATAAATAAATATGACAGGCCAGACTTAAATTGTAATGTCTTGTCACTTTCTGATGCTTATCTAATGTATGCTTTTTGTTTGAATAGAACCACATTATTCCTTTTTTTTTTTTTGGAGAGGGTTTTTTGCTATAGGGTGCGTATGCTCGCCAGACACACAGAGAGAGACAGAGAGACAGATAGAGAGAAATCACCCCCTAGGGGGGATGGCCATGCCGCAATCCCTTCTCCACTCTCCTCTCGGGATCTTGGGCACGCACGCACACGCGCCCGGTGTGAGTTTTAAGCCACCAGGTCTGGGACGCGAACCGTAGTCAACTACATGAGAATCCAGCGACATAGCCATTACACTAACTGCTGGTCCCAAAAAGAAAGAGGAAAAAAAAAAGTAACAACAAATGAAATTAAATAAATAAATAATCCTAAACAAAATTTTCTCTACTTCTTTCCTCATCAATACTTGCTATTATCTTTTTGTAGCCATTCTAGTAGGTTTATAAAGGGTATCTCATTCTGATTTCAATTCTATAATTACTTTTTTTAATGGCCAGTCAATCTTAAATTATTCTCCATTCTCCCCCCCCCGCCCCACGGCTAATGGTCAAGAAGTGAGAAAAACTAAATTGTCCTTCCTACCATTTTTTTTTTTTTTTTTTTTTGTGCTAGCCAGAAAGAGAAAAACAGAGAGACAGAAAGCGAGAAATCATCCCCCAGGGGGAATGGCCATGCCGCAATCCCTTCTCCTCCACTCTCCTTTCAGCATCTTGGGCACGCACGCACACACGCCTGGCGTCAGTTTAAGCCACTGGGTCCAGGACTCAAACCGCAGTCAACTACATGGGAGTCCAGCAACACAGCCATTATGCCAACTACTAGTGCCTCTTTTTTATTTTTGAGAAGAATGATTTTATTTATTCATTTATTTCATATTAATTTGACCAGAGAGGGACAGAGTGAGAGCGAGAGAAAGAGAAAGCTAGAAAGCAAGCCACCAGGCCTGGGACTCAAACCGCAGTTGGCCATGTAGGAATCCAGCAACTTTAACCACCACCCCACCTGCCGGCCCCCATCTTTATCCTTTAAATATACTTTAAAATACATCAGTATCCATCAGTAACCATTTCCATGAGTTCTGCAAGCCACTCTAGAAAATTAATCAAACCTAAGGAAGGATGAGGGTTATGAGAACACCAACCTGTCACTGGTCAGTGAGAGGTTCTGGAGGCACGGACTTGGGACTGGTGTCTGAAACAGGGGTACTCTTGGGGGAATGAGATCACAACTGTGGGACCCAACCTATCTCCAGGTTTATAGCATCAGAACTGAATTGAGTTAGGGGATGCCAAGCTGGTATCCACTGAAGAACTGCTTGCTTGCTGGTGGGGAAAAGTTCCCACACTCTGGGATCATAGAAGTGATCTATGTTGAAAGAGAAGGGAATAGATGACTCTATTTCTGACTCCCTGTACTCCGTTTTGTGTCTTTTTTTTTGGGGGGGGGAGGTTTTTTTGCTATAGGGAGGAGCATGCGCTCGCCAAACAGAGACAGACAGAGAGACAGAAAGCAAGAAATCACCCCCCAGGGGGGATGGCCACACCACAATCCCTTCTCCTCTAGGGATCTTGGGCACGCACGCACACACAGCCAGTGTGAGTTTAAGCTACCGGGTCCAGGACTCGAACCGCAGTCCATTACGTGGGAGTCCAGCAACATAGCCATTACGCTAACTGCTGCCCACCCCCCTTTTTTTGAGAGCGAGATTTTTGCTATAGGGCACATGCGCTCCCTGGACACAGAGAGACAGAAAGCAAGAAATCACCCCCCAGGGGGGATGGCCACACCACAATCCCTTCTCCTCCATTCTCCTCGTGGGATCTTAGGCACACATACACATATACCCAGTGTGAGTTTTAAGCCACCAGTCTAGGACTTGAACCATGGTTGACTATGTGGAAGTCCAGCAATATAACCACTACATCATCTGCTGGTCCCTCCATTCCATATTTCTAACAAATACTTATTCATTCATTAGCATCTGACCTTTACTTATGTTAATGCATGTGTGTTTAGCAGGTGGCGTGATAATTAAGGCACTATACTCCCACATAGCTGACTGAGGCTGGAGTCCCAGACCTGGTGGCTTGGAAAACATGCCAGGTGTGTACGCACGCCTGCTGAAAATCCCAACAGAAGAACTGGGAAGGGACTGCAGTGTGGCCACAATGACCCCTGGTGTGTGTGTGTGTGTGTGTGTGTGTGTGTGTGTGTGTGTGTGTTTTCTCCTCTCCTTCTGTCTCTCTCTAGGAAGCACATGCACCCTATGTCAAAAACAAAACAAAATAATAAGAATAATTAGTGAAGATCATACAAAACAGGGCCAAAAGTCCAGGGAGACATTATAAACACAGCTTCTGTACTCCAGCCTTTGGCTCACACAGTGAATCTGCAACAGCAGATCATCTCTGAGTAAAGAAGTCAAGGTCATCACTTCTGGCAAAGCACTACTGGATGCTTTCCCAGCTTGAAATATACAGCATGGTATTTTAGCTTAAGGAGGCTCTAATCATGTCCTAAGAGCTCTAGAGGTAACTACTGGTAAATTCTGGGGTTTTGTTTGTTTGTTGAAAGATTTTTTGCTCTAAGGTGCATGCACTCACTGGAGAGACAGAGAGAGCTAAAAAGTGAGTAATCCTCAAGAAGGGGGTGGTCACACTACAATCCCTTTTCCTCCAGTCAACTCTTGGGATTTTCGGCAGGCACACACATTCGCCTATAAAGAATTTTAAGCCACCAAGACTGGGACTTGAATCGTGATTGACTATGCTGGTGTCCAGCAACTCAACCAATCGTGATTGACTATACTGGTGTCCAGCAACACAACCATTACTCCCATATAATTCTGTTTAAACAACTTTGACAAACAGTTTTTTAATAAATACTTGAATGGCTACTTTACTATATTCTGGTGTCTTTTTACAAAACTACTAATATTAGACATCCTTGACTAAATTAATTCTAAAATAAACCAATTTCAGATAATGTTAAGACAACATTTTTAAAATTATTTATTTAATTTTATTTATTCACTCATTTATTTTTAATTTGATCAGAGAGAGATACAGAGATAGAGAGGGAAAGTGAGAAAGCAAGCCACCAGGTCCGGTACTCGGTCCAGCACCTTAACCACCATGCCACCTGCTGGTCCCAAGACAAATTTTTATGATAATCTAAAAGTGCTGAAGGAGATGAAAAGTAAAACCCACTAGTTTTCCTTGGGTCTGCTTCATGACCATTTATGAAGACTGTGGCCATATGTTCTACATTATTTTGTCTACACACGGTCAATTTAAAATGGATATTCTGTCTTCTTGCCAGGATTTTTAAAACTGGGTTAACAGATGAAACAATACCTGAGAAACAAATATACAGTATGCTATTTTATCTGATCCCTTATAAGGTAGGTGGAAACATTCCTTTTCAAAGGTGAGAATATGGAAAAAAACTTAAGAGTTGCCCTTGGTCTAAAAGGTAAGATGAGGAAATACATATTAAAAACCCAGGTTTAATTATTTCTATTAGACTCTGTAACAGCCAGTGTCACTTGAAACCTTGGAGATGATGTTCTCGATGACAAACTCCCTCAGTACTGACTGCTATAGCCTGGCCTCTAGTTTGGAACACTGAGAGTCTCAAAAATAGCTAAAAACTAAGTAAGTAGGCAAAAAGCCACTTCCCTATACCATCTGATACTCCCTTATCTTTTCAAGCATTTGGTACAAGGCTGTGTGTATGATGAACACTACAAACTTAGTACAATTGCAAAGCAGTTTTATCAAAAACTACCTCTTTTCTTATTGACAGGTCGTCATCTCTGCAAATGGAAAAGTAAAACTAGATGAACTTACCATTTGGGTGCCAGATTTCTGTAATGAATTTCATTTTAGGAGGCCGGAGGGGATAATCTTTTGGGAAAGTGAGATGAGCCTTAAAAACACCACCTTCACTGGAAAAAAAGAAACAAAAACAAGTTCTTGCCTATAAGTTCCTGCTTATAGGTATACAATCATTAAAACAAATATAAAATAAGGTTGCTGGTGCTAATGCTAAAAATGAAATAAATAATCTTGATTCCCAATATCCAGTTATTTATTCAAATATCCAGTTTAATAAACTGTTATACCTACCACCTTATTAAACTCACGAAGACTAGTAAAAATGGAAAAAACTGTTTGCTTAGAAAAGGTATGCCAATCAGGTCACATTATTGCTATGCTATAATAGCAGCTCCTCTACAGTGATCTCTAACTATCATTCTTCTCTTTATTCTAGTCAACATTCTCTCAGTTCCCCGAACACACAGAAATCTCTCTCTCTTAAAGCTAATGGACATTTTATTACTCTCTGTCTGGGAACAGACATCCTGCTTCCTTTCACCCTTCCACTTATTCATTCATTTTTGTACCAAATATTTATTCATCACTGTGCATCAAGCAGTGAATAAAATATATTATTTTTTTTTAATTACTTAATTTCATTTATCATTATCGTTATTCTTCAATTTGCTATAGAGTATGCAGGGTCAAGAGAGAGAATGAGACAGAGAAAGTCAGAAGCCAAGCCACCAGGTCTGGGACTCGAACCACAGTCAGCCACATGGGAGTACAGCACATCAACAACCACACTAATTTTGCCCTCCAAACTGTATTCTAAAGGAGTTTATACTCTAGATGTTCCAAAACAGTGCTGTAAGAAAACTTGTCCAGTGCTAGAGGTGTTCTGTATTGGTGTTGACCAGTATGGTAGCCGCTAACTACCCTGAAACATGGTGAATGCAAGTGAGTAACTAAATCTGTTACAGTATCTAATTTTTAGAGATTACTTAATTTTGTGAGGGTTTTTCTAAAAGAATTATTTATTTATTTAATTCCATTTATTATTAGTATTTTTTAATTTGACCAGACTTAGAGAGAAAGAAAGAGAAAGGGAAAGCAGGAAAGCAAGCCACCAGGTCTGGCACTCAAACTGCAGTCAGCCAAATGGGAATCCAGCACCCTTAACCACCATGCTACCTGTCGGCCCCTAATTTTGTTTATTTTTCAACTTGACCAGAGAAATAAGGAAAGTGAAAAAGCAAGCTGCCAGACCCAGGACTCGAATCACAGTCAGCCATGTGGGAGTCCAACGCCTTAACACTGCAAACCTACCGGCACCTAGTTTATTTGATTTTAATAAACAAAGGTGGCTAGTGAGTGCATACACTGTCATGTAATAAAAATTGTTCTAAAATAACAAAACAGTGAGTTCAATACATTAACATCTAAAAGCAAAGGGATCAAGTCTGCCTTAAGTTGAGGGCAAAAATGGCTAAATTCCTGACTGCTGGCCTTGGTACTAAATGTCACCTGCACATGAAATACCCTTTTCCCTTTGTCTTCTGATCAATGTTTGATATTCAGCTTAAATGCTATCTAGAAAGAAAGATTTTACTTGACTACCACTAAACTAACCATTAGTCTCCATATCACCTCTTTTAAGTTCTCTACTGCAGGAGCAATCTGGACATCTGACTCTTCTTATGATCCAAGGTACACCCCAGTACAGCAGAGTGATATGACGGTGCTTACTTTCAATCAGTAAGAAATAGAACTCTCAGCTCATTACCATGGTGCTCATTCACCAAACAGAAGCACATCAATTCCCTGGTTGTGCTATTCTATGTGAAGAGTTACAGGGAACCAGCAGTTAGTGTAATAGCTATGTCGCTGGACTCCCATGTAGTCGACTGAGGTTTGAGTCCCGGACCTGGTGGCTTAAACTCACACCGGGTGTGTGTGCGTGTGTGCCCAAGATTCCGAGAGGAGAACTGAGGAGAAGGGATTGCGGCGTGACCGCAATCACCCTGGGGGATGATTTCTCGCTTTCTGTCTCTATGTCTCTCTCTGTCTGTCTGGTGAGCGCACGCACCCTATAGCGAAAACCTCTCCAAAAAAAAAAAAAGAGCTACAATAGGGAACAGTCCAAGATCACTGAGGAACTGGTCATTTAGTGGTAGATGGAAAATATCAAGAAAAATATCAGCAATAAGCATAGTCATAGAATAGTATGAGAAATCTACTGTTAAATTTTTAAAAGTGGTTATAATAATAAGCCCATTTATCTTTTTCTTTAAGAATTATTTTTTATTTAATTTTACTATTTATTTATTTATTTTAATTTAACCAAGAGGGACAGAGTAAGTGAGAGAGAGAAAGAGCGAGAAAGTGAAAGAGCAAACTGCCAGGTCCAGGACTCAAACCATGGTTGGCCATGTGGGAGTCCAGTGCCCTTAACCACCACACCACCTAATGGCCCCAAGCCCATCTGTCTTTAAGAAGAAAGAGTGAGAGTGTGTTTGTGCACATACAGAAAAATGGATGGAAACAGACATAATACATAATAATGGTTATCTAGAGCACAGAACTAGAGATTTTTACTTTCTGCTTTACACATTTCTATATAGCTTGAATTTTTAAATTTGCTAGGGTCTGTGTGCTCAAAACACACAGAGAGAGAATATCACCCCTCGAGGGGATGGCCACATCATAATCTCTTCTCCTCTTGGGATTTTAAGCACACATGCACATGTACCAGGCACATATTTCAAGAAACTCAGTCCAGGATTTAATGCACAGTCATGTGGAATCCAGCTGCCTTAACCTCCACACTATCTGCTGGCGCCATCTTGAGTTTCAACTGCGACAATTTATTTATTTATTTATTTTGGGGGGAGAGATTTTGCTATAGGGCACATACGCTTGCCAGAGAGACACAGAGAGACAGAAAGCAAGAAATAATCCCCCAGGGGAATTTCCACGCCACAATCCCTTCTCCTCCAGTTTCCTCTTGGGATCTTGGGCACACATGCACACATGCCCGGCATGAGTTTAAGTGACTGGGCCCGAGAACCATGGTCAACTACATGGGAGTCCAGTGACATAGCCATTATGCCAACTGCTGGTCCCACAATTTGTTATTTTTTTTAAAGACAGATTTTTGCTATAGGGCGTATGTGCCCACCATAGAGTCAGAGAGACAGAAAGCGAGAAATCACCCCCAGGGGGAAGGCCACATCACAGTCCCTTTTCCTCCATTCTCCTCTTACAATTTTAGACACACATGCACTTGCGCCCAGCCTGAGTTTAAACTGCTGGGTCCAGGACCTGAACCATGGTCGACTAAACGGGAGTCCAGCAACGTAGCCATTACACCATCTGCTGGTCCTGTAAGTATTTTTTTTTATTGACTTTTTCTAATCATAACAGCAAGACAGTGAGCAGGAATAGATTTAAGTTCTAAAAAGAGATATAGATTATTAATAAATACTTCAAAACAGGAAAGGCCACGTTACACTGAAAGTATAAAAAGTCAATAACCTCAATAATGTAATGTTTATAAAAAGCAATAGGGAAAAGACTACAAAAGACTGAAGAATGAATATGGGAAGAATGAATATGGTAATAAAGTACAAACGTAATGAACGGGACAATTTATCTACATTTAACAGTCAAAAGTCAAAGATGGGGACCAGCAGTTACTGTAATGGCTATGTCGCTAGACTCCCACGTAGTCGACCATGGTTCGAGTCTCGGACCAAGTGGCTTAAAACTCACGCTGGGCATGTGTGCATGCGTGCCCAAGATCCTGAGAGGAGAACAGAGGAGAAGGGATTGTGGCGTGGCCATCCACCCTGGGGGGGGATTTCTTGCTTTCTGTCTCTCTGTCTCTCTCTGTCTGTCTGGCGGAGCGCACGCGCCCTATAACAAAAACCTCTACAAAAAAAAAAGTCAAAGATGATGATGAGGGCCTGCCAGGTGGCCTGGTGATAAAGGCAGCTGGATCCCATGTGGGTAAAAGCATGTTTCAAGTCCTGGACCTAGTGGCTTAAAAAATATGCTGGGGCATGTACAAACATGCATAAAATCCCATAAGAAAAATGGAGAAGGGACTGTACTATGGCCATCCCCCTGGAGGGGATTTCTCTTCTGTTCTCTTACTGTCTTCAACAAGCACACGCACCCTATAACTGAAAAACAACAACAAAAAAGTTTAAAAACCATAAATACAAAAAAAGTGCAAAGCATCTATGTAAAAGGTCATCAAAACAGTGGCACCAAAGCCAAGGCACTTAATAATGTCAAGGAATAGCACTGGAATAAGGTTAGCTTCATCAGAGCGCTCGATTTACGATACATCCACTCAAAAGCCTCAAAGTAGCTGATCAGAATAGTCATCATAGAAAACTGCCTTAGTATCTCTCTAAACTGTTTTCAACCTACAAATGTCAACCAAATTTACAGAATAGGCTTACCCTAAAGATTTAAAAAGCACAGAATTTTTATTCTATCTGAAATTACCTCACCTGGTCTGAAATGACCAGACAATTTATTATCACTTTCCTCCCTTTTGTGGATCCCTCATCTCCAGTTTACCTGTGGAAATTCTACCTGCATTTTTTTTTTTTTGCAAAGTCTAACTCAGTAGTACCCGACTTATGGGTACAAACTTCCAGTGAACCAAATTACAGCAAGAAAGAACCCCAAAATCCACAGGGTACAAAAACATTGTAAGCTAAACATTAACATGCCACATGTTAACTAATTTCCAAATATACAAAGATGGCAGTGTAGGGAGCAAGATGAATGTCTATCTATTTTATTCACCATGAATTACTAATAGTACAGTTACTAGCAAGCAGTTTCACATTTGAAAAGGCTGTAAAACCTATTCTTGATGGGGCCTGAAGGCGGTGTGGTGGTTAAAGGCGCTGTACTCCCACATGGCCAATTGTGGTTCAAGTCCCAGACCTGGTGGCTTGCTTTCTCACTCTCTCTCTCTCTCTCACTCTGTCCCTCTCTAGTCAAATTAAAATAAATAAGTAAATAAAGTTAAATAAAATAAATTCTTTTTTTTTTTTTTTTAAAAAAAGGAAGAAACCTATGCTTGGTTCAAGTTTCTTCAATGAAG